ATATAAATAAATATATAATATAGTATAATATTAATATAAATAAATATGCAATATTATCCTTGAAATTACTACTGAATTCGATCATATTGATTATTATTAAAATAAATAAAATGCAGTACAGTAATAAAATATATGTGTTAGGAAAATATTTTAACAATCCATTAATCATTTTTGAGTTTGAGTGTAATTTTTTTTAATGTCACGTGAAACTTTTCATCTGATCACAGATGATAATTAAAGATTTAACAATAAACGCATCGCCAGGATGATAATAATTTCAGTTGACCGTTGGATACGGTTTTATAATAAATAAAGATTGTCAGGTATGTTTTTAACGATTGACGTTGTGTACCATAAGTGTTGAATCACTGTCGTCCTTTTAGTTGATATAACTTTTAATTATTTTAAACGTCGTTCGATAAAGCATAAAGTTTTAGAACGCCCTAGTAATCCATTCAGATGTAATCGTCTTACACTAATCAAGTTGTTAATCTTTCAATTTCGTGTACACAATATTATCCATAGCAATACAGTTTAATGTACACGATAAACAGCGCCTTATAGTAATTGCATGCACTTCATATTTTACATTGACGTGTGTTCGAGCCGTGTACTTAGTTTTCTGGTTTTCATGTTTTTATCCGTGTCGTCGTTATCCGTTTTGCATTGTGATTTGCGTGAGATGCAGCAATGGTACAGCGTGGAGGTATACCTCCATGTGCGATTGCCCAGTTGCATGCGATCGCGCTGTTATCATCACGCGTAAATGTTCGTTATTCCATGTTTTCAATATCCATGTTGTATGTAAAGTCTTTAAAAGTCACGTTATCGATGGTGCCGTGAGTTTTCTTAAGCTCTTTTGGTTTCAGTTTCGGTGGGATGGCACTGAGACGATTTTTATCGGCCGTAGCTTTCGTGGCAAATATCGTCGGCTCTCTCCGTTCGTTTCGTCGACGTGTAGGTACACGTCAACATCGGTTTTCTCCAATCTCGTTCTCGTTCTCGTTTGCAGCCATCTTCTCAAAAAACTACGTTTTTCTTTGTGCGCCGTATGCCGTCTGGTAAGTGGCGTTTAGTAACTTAACTTAGCTACTCGTGTATTTCAATTCACATTGTTCCATAATGATCACTTCCAGGTGGCATTTGTGAATAGGATGGTGTGTCACAGTTATACGTGAGTACTGGTCGACCACATTTTTGTTAATTAGTAATGTTAGTTTAGTAAAGGTCGCGATCGACCTGAGTTAGAACATTTATTTATTTCTTATTTATATTTTTTTAGTTGTGCCGCTGTAGAGCCAACATTGATTATTTATTTACTGTGCCATTTAGGCTACTTATTTTTTTACATTTATTATTATATAGTCCATTTATTTGCAATATGTTCTTTAAATTATTATATTTAGTATTTTGGTGAAAGAAAACGTCTCTTCTTAGTAGAGATACTCCGTGCATTGACAATGTGTTTTCGCAGAGTTAGGCTATCTTGTCGTATGCGTTCACATTGCAGACCTGCGATCACGGGACGCTTGTTTACATGCTCTACTATGCAATTTACATCCTTATTATCTTGACTTAATGGTAATAAAAATAAGCACTACCTTTTTCATGCATTATATAATTGTTGATCGTATATATTTTGGCCGCTGGATGATAATATTTGAGTTCACTTGAGATATGAATAAAAGGTATTCGTTAAACGCGTTTCTGATGGCATACAAGTATTTTAATATTTATTTGAATTTTTCTTTATTTCTATAAAGAAATTAATAAAACGAGGCGACGACAGACGGTTGTTAATACTTATATAACAATTTTTAATTCCTATACTATATTACATATTGACAAAAAATTTTGTTTGTCCGTAAAACCACTTTTTCATCATCTCCCATACGAAAATGTATTGTATAAAATCTAAATATGTTTGTAGAGTGGTAGAACACGGCGGAGCGCATACGACAATATAATCTAAAGTTACTACGTATACAACATCTGTATTAATGTATACTACTTCACGTTATTGAATTTAAATAAAATATATCTGTTTTCATTACTGTCCTAGAAAATACTTTAAAACCTCTTAAAAACCTTTGGAATGCCGTAAAACGAAATTGGACCGTATTATATTGATTTCGAACTGTACCCAACGGGACACACGCAATCAAGATCAAAACGTGACGGACACAATTCCAGTGGCTGTTCGTGACATTGGCATTGATGTACACCCGTTTAAAACGTAATGACATTGTACTGTAGACTATACTCGTAATACGCGCTCGGTTGAATGCACTCGACTTTACATATCTAAGTGTTGTTTTACTTTACGCAGAACAGGCATAGATCTTCAATGTCATAACTAAAGTTTCGATAAATCAACTAGATACGATTCGAGCAAAGATATTCCGTCTCAAAACTACTGGCAGTCAACTACTTACCGTCTTTGCCGGTTTCGTTATTTTTTTAAATCCCTTAATATTGCACGTATTGAAGAAACCGCCATGTCAAAAGTCAAGTTTAAATAGTTTTGAGATAGAGCCATAATCAATGAGTGAGTGATACCCGACGTTGCCCGTTAAGAAAATTGTGAGTGCTAAACTCTTTTCGGGTGTTACTCACCGCAGTCTTTTTAAGTATAAATCACCTAAAATAACATTTGAAATAATAATTTTTTATGTACTATAATTGATAAATATTAATTTATTATAAACACATAGCTGTCCATGTGAAAAGAATGCATTTTCCTAATTCACACTTGTTGTCATTGTCCTTGCGCTATGTTGATGATAATTGCAATAGTGAGTCGCACCGGAAACTTCAAACGTTAGAGTTATATTATTTATTTGAATCATTGGGATGCTTGGCAATAGTGCATATTTAGTGCATAGTTCGCCTTCAAAATGTTCTGTTTAAAATTATAGGTTCAATAATGTTGTACATCAACTTTTTCAATGAAAGGCTTTCAGTGAAAAAGTTGATAAATCTAATTGGTTGGTACCATTGCAGAGTGATGGTGGATTGATGTTTCATAAAAGAATGAAGTGTACGCCAATTTTTAATGTTAAAACGAGCGGCGTTATATCTGGCAAATCAAGTGAACTTAAAAATTCAGTTGAATTGTGTTCCAAGTGTAATACATTTGCACATTAATACATATATTAATACATACAGAAAAGTTTTTGTAAACTAATATTTTGTACAGAGATCAAAAAGAAGAGGTGAGTGTAGTTTGTGGAGTAGAAGATAGTCGCTCTTAAAAATTATTTTCAATAAAATAGACACGTCCATTATTTTCTAAGTCCACGTTGAATTGTGACAATCAGATTGCTTTCCATTTTTTCGCTAGTTACAGCATTTACCAAACAAAAACTGCTCGTTTGGGTCTAATCAAGTCTACTGATGCTTACCTTTACTTTTTTTTTCGCAACAAAGGTAGAGTTTGTCCTTCTTCAAGGTCTAATCTATCTCTGTAGCAAATTTCATCAAAATCGGTTCAGTGGTTTCGAAGTTAATCAGACACAAACCGTGGAATATTTCGAGTAGTTTAGGAAGGCATAAGGGACATACAAACATTCATTTTTATATAGCTGAATTTCCCGGTCTCTCTCGGGGGAAATATTATTATTTTAGATTAGAAAACTGACACAAATCCCTAACGTAAACATTTCAGGTTGAAAAAAGCATAAAATATTTGTATATTATCGAAAGCTATTGATTTGTATTGATTTCATTCATACTTTTTAATAATTTACATTTAATAATATTACAAATAATATGTTTTGATTATATAATGGTTACAATAAATTTGATTAATATAATTATTATTTCCGCATAGGAAATATTACAATAAAATATGATTAATATACTATTATTTCCGTATAGGAAATATTACAAATAAAATATGATTAATTAATTTAGTGTTAATTTAAATAGGTTAGTGTTACATTTTTTTTTTTTTATATATATATATGGTGGTTAGTATCACACATTTTTTTTATCTTTTATATTTCTTACATATATATTTATATTGGTTAGTATTAATTTTTGGTTAGTATTATATATAATTAAATAGGTGCATTACTATTGAGAATTTTTATTATATTAATTTTACTTTTCTTTTTCTAATTTTATCCTGTCCTTAAATTATATGATATTCCATTATTTATTAAAATTTTTTTTTTTTTTAATTAAATTTTTTTTTTTTTTAAATTTATATTTTCGTTAAAGTACTTCTTAACATTATTTTTATGTACTGTTACTCCCCTTCTACCTCTTTGAATAACAATATTTTCTTCCCCTATTATATCTATTACCTCGTATGGCCCTATCCATAACGATTCTAACTTATTTCTAGCAGTATTATCTTTTAATAATATTAAATCTTTTACATGTATATCAATAGAATTTTCTTTCTTATCATAACCTTGTTTTGATTTAATTTTTCGTGTGACTAGTTTTTCTCTCGCAATTTTGTGTGACTCTTGCATACTTTGTTTTAAATCATATAAATAATCATCATAATTATATCGCGGTTCAGGTTCAGATTTTAATTTTATCGGAATTTCTAATGTTCTTCCGTACACTAATGCATATGGTTAAAAATTAGTTGAAGTGTGTTCAGTTGAGTTATAAACGAAAAATGCATAAGGTAACAGATGGTCCCAATTACTTAAATTTTTATCTACGTAATGTCTCAAGTATTCGGCTAATGTTCTATGTGATCTTTCTAAACTTCCGTTTGTTTGTGGATGGAAAGGACTAGTATTTACTTTGTTGATTTTTAATAATCTGCAGACTTCACTAAATGTCTTACTAAGAAACTCAGTACCTTGATCAGTTAATATTGTCTCAGGTATTCCGTGAACACATACAAAATGTACTACGAAAGCCTCTGCTACAGTATTAGCTTGATGATCCGGTATAGGTATTCCTAATGAGTATTTAGTTATATATTTTAACGAAAATATAAATTAATAAAAAAAAAAAATAAAAATTAGAATATATATATATACATACTCGTAAAATTAAGGATAGTATAAAAAAAAAGGATTTTAATTTTTAGATAAGAAGATAAGAAAGCATTTTGGTCATTAATACAAGGAGTTGGTAATATAAATATATATATTTAACAAGATGTGTGATACCTTTGAAAGGAATGTAGCAAGAGCAAAGGAGTTTATGAGACATTTGAGTACATTTTTAAAAGGAGACAATCACATAGAAAGAGAACTCGGAGATGTAAATTCCACGGTAGAATTAGTATGTTTCGCAGAACATATGCGACAGGCAAATAATCTAATGGCAGAACCATACACACCAGCAGAAATAATAAATTTAATAATACCAATAACGGGGTTTACACAAGATGTAGTACCGGGAGATGCGCAGAATGCGATATGTAAGGAGTTAGGTGAAGTTCTAGATGAATTAATCGAGGATGGAGTAATATAAATAAAATAATGTAATATCATATAATATCATATAATATAAGACTAGAATGGAATTAGAATTAAGAATTAAAAAAAAAAAAAAAAAAAAAAAAAAGAAGAGATTAATAACTTATATGGTAATAATAATTAATAAATAATAAAATTTTAGGATGGTGATGTGTATCATGATGGGTATTGAAATATCAGGACAAGAATTTGACAAATATTTTTCTATCGAAAACTTCGACAAAAATCCTCCTGGATTATACTTCGAAAATTATGGACCGACCAGGTTAATCGGAGAAGAATATAAATTAATTACGTATTTATCGTTAGCTGAATATAATAAAAAATATAATGAATTAGGTAGAAAAATAAACGAGTTAGACACAACATGTCAAAAGTTAAAATTAAATAGTTTGTGCGGGCGATATAACTATGTAATCACGGGATTATACAATGAAGTTACTACACAGCGTAATCGTATGTACATTGCATTAGGATATTCGGAAACGACCACAGACAGGAGAGAAAGAAGAAAAAGGGGTTTAATAAATGCGATAGGAGCGGTTATGAATACATTGTTCGGAGTATGCGATGATAATTGTGTGAGTAAAGCAAATGAACAAATTAAAGAATTAGAGGTATCAGGAACTAGTACATTACATATAATGAAATCTCAGACTACAGTAATGAAAACGGCAGTACAACGTATAGGTACAACAATAGAACAAACAAATAAAATGTATGACGAATTAAAAACCAGGGAGAAACAACTTATGTTAAAACTTAATGACGTAACCAATACAACAAATAACTTATTAGATTTAGTCGCTATGTCAGAAATACACAATATTTATACTGCACTAACTAATCAATATGAATATGAAACCTCAACTATAAATCAAATAATAACAGCCGCCAGAAGGGGAATAATACATACCAGTTTAATCACACCACAAGAATTAGCAACCACATTAAAAAAAATATCACATAGAGTAAAAGGGAAATTGAGTATACCAATGGGAACTAACACCGCCGAATTGTACGAATTACACAAAATAACTAAACTAACAGTATTTTACGAAAATGAAAGATTAGTTTTTATAACTAAAATACCATTAATAACAGATACAGAATTAATACTATACCTATTCCGATGGTGAGAACATTAAATTATGGTAATTCAATTAATACCAGGGTAAGCATAAATCCGGAAAACCCATACATAGCCATTACAAAAGATAGACGCGAATACACTACTTTTACCGAAATTCAAATTCAAACATGTAAAAAAACCACAATTTATCGAATATGTCACGCTTATCAACCCATACAAGAAAATAACGGTTTACAACCATGCGAAATAGATTTATTTAACAAACCACATAAAATTCCTAATAATTGTCGTTCATTAATTATAACAGTAGATCGAAACATATATCATAAACTTAAATACCAAAATGAATGGATATATTCAGTTCTTAACGACATAATAGTATCGTCTTGTACAGATTTATCTGAACCTCAAATAAATCATATAATGGGCACTGGCATTATTAAAATTTACGACAATGGATGTCAGTTATCGGGTAAACATGTTGTATTAACACCCATAGAAGAAGTATCAAATAAAAAATTCATAGATTTTATACCACAAAGTGATATAACCTCATTATTAGACAAAATACCGCAGAATGTACATTTAATAACATTAAAAAATATAAGTTCATATAAGAGTTTAAAACTAACTGACCTACACGAATATTCACAATCACTTAACGAAATAGAACGACAGATAAGCAATGAGGAAGAGAGACAAAAACATTACAGTCAACATACTACGCATTCGTATACGTTATACATTATGATAGTGTTAATCGTATTAATAATAATAATGGTGATAATTATATATATATAATATTTAAGCGCGCAAATTTAATCGCTATAGGAAGAACCATTATAGATGCATCCACACCAGTACCTAGTCGTAGACAAAAATATTCAACTCAACGAGATTTAACGAACGAACACGATAGATTCGAAGCCATATATAATGTAATAGGATCACGATCACCATCCCCAAGATAAATAACTAAATAAAATAATAAACATAAGTAAAACTAATAAATCATTAATAATTAATAATAAGAATAAAAAAAAAAAAAATTTAATTAATAATAGTAATCCATATTTGATATAATTAATTAATATTATTGTATTATTCAGTTCCCAGATTAAGTTCGTAATTATTGATTTTGAATTTGTCAACATCAATAAGCACGACTTACTACTTGTATCGGGGTCAATGTGTCTAGACAAATATAGGCCAGTCAAGATGCAAGGGAGACCGATCATACTAACAGGAGACAATAAGTTGAGGATGTTCAATAAAAAGAATCTGAACACCCTGAAACAGTATTTGAAAGGAATTTTCCGAAAGAAACCAGACGTGTTGAAACCTTTATTGGGGCAAATTGATATTAGTATCAATCACCAGGGGGCAACTAGTCTTGGTTCGGCGTTCATTTCTAAATACCTGTTTTCGGACAATACTCAACCGATTATTGTCACCTGGAGTGGAACTATGGATGTAAAAATAATAAAAAAAATTAAGGATACCAGGAATAAAAAAATTTTTAGATATAAGTACATATAGCGATAACAATGATAATAATTTTAGTTTAAAATTAATAGATGTAAGTAATAATAAATTGTTACACTCAGTAAACATAGGGCATGTGCACAAGAACGGGAGAATGTTAAATCTAAAGGAGACCCATGATATGTTATGCGAAAAAGGGCATGAAGTAACATATTGCCATGACCCTATGACTGATGTAACGTATACTAAATGTATTTTTAATTATTTAATAAGGAGAATAGGCCCGAGTAAGTTATTTAGGATATGCAAAAAAACGTAATAATAAAAAAAAAAAAAAAAAAAAAAAAAAAAAAA